GGTGGCGAACGAGCGCGGCAAAGGGAGCGGCTGCCGGGGGCTGTTCGGTGGCTCTTTGGGGGCTGTTCCAGGCGTGGAATGGTGGCTGGTGGTGTCGGCTAGGCAGCTGGACAGCAGTGGACCAGCGGTGGGGACGGACGGCAGGCGACGAAGCTGGCGTTCCAGCAAAAACCAGCCGGCTGTGAGCGGCTATTCAGTGCGACTTGAGGGAGTCTCGGGGGCTGATCTGGGGATAGAATGGTGGCTGGTGGTGGCGGTTTGGCGGTCGAAACAGTGGTGGACGAGCTGCCTCAGCCGGTGAGCATCTAAGCGAGCGGTGGTGGCTGCACCCGCGGAAAGACAAGCAGCGACGGGAAGCTCCGGGGCGGCTGGTATAGTGCTGTTTGGCCTGAGACGGAGCTGGGGTGATGGTGGTTCGGTGGCGGGGTGGAGCGGCTCTCGGCGGCGGTTGGTCTGGCGGAAAAAAGGCTGGTCGTTGGGCTAGAAATGAGAAGCAGAATAAGAAGCAGAAGCGAAGAAGAAGCAGCAGTAGCGAAGCAAGAGCAGAAGCAACGAAGAAAAGAAGCAGAAGCGGAAGGAAAAGAAGGAAAAGAAAGGGAAGAAGAGAGAAGGGAAGTGGGTGGAGTTGGTGGGGGAGTCAGCGGCAGAAGTCAGCTGGAGGAGGGAGGGGAGAGAGAGAGAGAAATGATTATCCCCACCAAAAAAAATCTCCCCACCATTTTTCCTTTTCTTTTTTTGAAATTTCTCAAATTTTGGCCTCCCAATTTACCACTATACCTCGGCCCATGTACCGATTGTAGACCAACTTAATCTTATCGGGCCTTGATGGCCGACCCCCTTGGGTGCGAGGACGGGCTTTGCTCGGTTCACTTCCGTTTCTCGCGTCGAATTTCCGATTCTTCGATCCTTTTTCGAAATTGAAATTTTTGATGGCCAATTCGTAAAAATTACGAGGCAACGTCCTATGGCTCGGGTGTGAAATCTTCGAGCATTCGACACTCAAAATCGGATCATAATTCGTGGATGAAATCGATCAATCGCAATTATAGTTTATCTCGAATTAACGGGCGGCTGTTAGAAATAAATTCTTTGATAGCCTTTCTCCTTTAGTTAGTATTCCCTGAGTGATCAGGTCAGGGCGAGAATTAACTAATAGAGCGTCAACTAAATCACCATTTCATAAATCAACAAATTAGGTCGAATTTTCAGGATATCACAGACGAACTCGTGTGGAATGAGTTTTGATCAATCTCCCAAATTCTCTTGGCTTCATTAGCTTCGAAAGACTTCTATGGATATTAGCATCACCTCTGATTCCTCATTTTCACTAAACTCACAAGATCATCGGCATTGTCACTGTCTTTCATCTCATCTACAACGAGCTGTTCTAGCCAATAATCTGCTGTCTCAATACTGATTCGCCCTCTTTAATCTTCTAGTCCTTCTAAGCATATTGGCGATCATGATCTTACCAAGTTGTTGATCTTCACAAGTGCAGTCTTTCCAAACTTCAACGAATATCATAGTTCTATGCTTATTCACCATCACCAAGGTCTATCCACTCTTGGTCCTTCCAAGCCATCACGAACATCCCCGTTCTTCTCAGTTTCTTCTCCATTGATCAATGTCCTTCTAGCTTGTTCACCTTTATAGAGATCTTCTAGCTTCTAGACATCATCACGCCTAATACCTTATTCACCTCATATATTAATAGTGATCCTTCTATATCAGCAGAGCATTCTCGATTGTGGAAGAGTACTCAAGATCACACCTAATGGTAATTTTGACACCATCTGCATTGTGGCTTGTGTGTATATCACCTAGTACTGACTCAACCAAGACACAAATTAGTAGACTTTAATTGTCTTTGTCATTGTCAAAACAACTTAGGGGATTTTTCTAACGATGAGACAATGTGTGTGACGCTGATAAATAAATAGAGTGATATAGGAGTATCACAAGCAATATATAATGGTTTGGCTTTATACCAAAGTCTACGTCCACTCTCCAACTAACAGCCTTAACAACTGCTGGATTCCACTAGTAATCAGTAGTACAAGTTATAACTAGCTAGTGATATTCCTTTCTCTTGATAAATCACACTATCAAGACACACTCACTGCACTTATGTTCATACACTTGACTCTATGCTATTACAGTACTTAACAGATACAGAGAAAAACACAAAACAAGATTAGAGACAATTTCTAACTTAGTTTGTACAAGCAGTATTCAATGTGTCTAACCCTCTACATAGCTTTGCTACTTCTTATATACTGAAGTCTTTAATCTATCTGTTGGGGACCTTCAAGGAAGCCAATTAGTGCTCTACACAACTCTGCCTCTGCTGCTCTTATAGTCGCTTCATACTATCGCAGGTTTCCTAAAATAGAGTTTGCTGCATTGTCCTTAAGTAAAAAAACTATCAGCTGCTTTTTTGATTTCTTTCCCGATTTTCCAGTGACGTAGTCCAATCTTGCAACGGCTCTTTCCTGTATGATCAACGGTTTTCTTCCGGCAAATATCTCACCATCATCAGAGTTACTGCATCACTATCTTAATCCAACACGCACTATCACCGGTGCAGATTATGAGTGATCTTTCTAACGATTTTTAGTGACGATATGGCCAATTGACACGTGACAATAAAATCAATGATCTTTCCATCTTTAATAGTCCCAAGGACTCCAAGAAAACTAGTACGACCGGTCCTTCCAAGCTTATCATGAGATACCACGCATACTTGCTCACCTAAACGTCATAGGCTAGTTTCTCATCCTTGCTGATACAAAGAGGAACATTGATAATATATACAAACTTTTACCATCTTCAAATGTCATAGTAAACATTAGTATCAAAAATAATTTTGGATCATCAAAATTTTATAAGTATGTTTTCCCAACACATTGCCATCGAAGATAATGTCGACCAAATAATATTGCTTTTCACATGTAAATTTCGCCCCTTTTCAGGAGGCACTTTAGTACGAAAAAATACATGTCTCCCTTGCCATTCACATGCGCATCAAGAATGTAAAAAGGCCCTATGTTTGATCAGAAATAAAGGGGTAGGGTTTCTCGAGCATAGACTGAAAAATTAGAGATGGAAAATCACTACAAAGATGAGAGGAGTATTGCAATGAGAATGTGGTGGACTGAAGCGAACTCAACGAGGCACTCTTTTGCATGCGAGAAGCACAGGATAAGGTCCATTGAGGTTTTTTAATTTCAATGTAGAGTTTTAGGATTGTAGTGGTTTTGGACCAAAATGTCTTTGGGAAAGGTGTAAAATGTGCACGTGATGAGCACAAGTTCGTCGCTCAACCATTATTATCGATGGTTATGAGCTCACGAAAAAAAACACATCAATTTTTGGATCTTGTATTTGCACCCAGAGAGAGAGAGAGAGATTAATGGGGATAATAAACCAATCAGTGCATAAACTTGTTGTAAGGATAGTGTATATAATGTGTTAAAATTTCGACGTGCCTTTATTATGGGAGACAGAGAAATTAATGTTTTTTTTTAATATTTCGAGAATGTCATCTAGTAATTGGTACTTACTGTTTTATTGTTAACATATGAGAGAATATTTCATGATCTTCCATCCTTGAAATTTTTTATTCGACATTGGTTATCTAATCACGATCGATTACAGATCAAGAGGGACAGGTGTAGATCACTTCGCTTCAACTTCATTACAGATAGAAGGGAGTGATGAATTCTTAAATTTCTCTATCTTGATCTTTTACATTCTTTGAGCTTGGTCCATTGGACGATTATGATATTGACTGCATGCACCTTTTTACCCAAGAGGTGAATATTTTCAGAGAACACTAAAATCGTTGCTTACATAATATATGAAGACTCTTGCACGACTCGTTGGGCTTGAGCTTTACCTTTCCTTTATCCAGCCTTTATAGGTCAGACTAAATCCACCTTCCCAAATCGAACAATGGTTCGCGACCTCCTATAATAATAGAGATTTACAAGAAATTACTTATTCCTTTTGTTGCCTAGCTCCAAGTGATCGCATAGTAAAAGTCGCATTTGAAACTTCACGCTTCTTAACGTGCACCCCAACTGTTTTACCATTTATCCAATGAGTTAGTTATTGGTTAATATGATTTAAGATTACTTTAGATGCCAGATTAAGGCAAACGCGTTCATATATAGCATGAGCTTAGAACTAGTATATATGAAAGAGTTCTTATTTATAGAAACCTTATCCTCTTGTCAATTTCCTTTGGTCGATCGAACCTGACACATTCTTTAATTATCATAACATTGGAACTCAAACATGAACTGCTTCTACAATACATTTTACAAAAAGAGTTCTCATGTATAAATATGTAGAAATGTAGAAAGGAATTAAACATATTTATTACAACTTTCCCTATTAAATTTCATTGTGAAAATGGGTGCTGCTGCGTTTAGGATCCTTTCAAATACCTCCAAAGTTGTAGCTGAGAGGTTTTCCTCACCCATACCCAACACCAAAATTTACCAATTACCAAACGTACATCTCTTCTTAGTGCAGTTACAACACAAGACCAGTACATTTGAACTGTAGATACAAAAAATCGGCTCTAAATTTATCAAATTGAGTTGATGTCAACCTATTTACTTAAATATGTCTAAAAAATAAAGTTCGTATGACACATTTATTGTTCATGTGGAGACGAGTTAATCTGTTCGTGATACATACACAATAAATCTTATACTTAACACTTTCAATTATTCTAGCAAAAAAAAAACACTTTCAATTAGGTGCCCATGTTTAAATTTATCAACTCTACATCACATGAATCGTGCTAATTTTCCATATGATGAGGATAACCATCCAAAGTTTTGTACTTCTCCGCGGCAGTGCCCAAAAATTAAAGTTTGATTGAATTTCCCTGATGGAGCAAAAATCTGGGTTAACCCTCGGGAAGAAATAGTTAAACCACGAATCAAGATAAATAAGAGGTGAAAAATGACAAAGTTCTCAAGGCAAATTCACTCAAACACAATGGCGACAGGGGTTCGAACCGAATGCTGAGCAGAGACCCACGTGATCGCCCCCTGAGCAAACGGTGACGGCGCTTTCCAGTCAATTCTCCTCGTAAAGTCAACCCGGTAACTCGCTGTCTGGTTCGCCTCCGTGAACACCAGATCACGAGGGTACACGCTAATTGAGACCAGATCCTTGATCGGATCGACGACCGACTGGTAACGCGACTTCGCGGGTCCAACGTTTTTCACCATCCTTGTCACACTCACATTCGTCACCGAAGGCTTGAAGCTCACGCTGATCGATGGATAGTTGAGCTGGTAATCGGGTGCGCTCCTTATGCTCGAGCATGTGACTTTTTTATTAACTATGAGCTCTATTTCGGAGTCAGTATAGTTGAGCCCACAAAGGTAAGGAATGTAATCTTGCGGTCCGCTGTCGTAAATGAGACCCGGGTCGATGGCCTTCGATGGGTTGATGTGTCCTGCACCAGTGGCAAAAATGTCTGCTGGATGGAGCGTCTCGTCCACGAAGGGTCGGCCCTCCATGTTGGAGGTGCCGGCAGTGGTCATGATGGCGGACTTGATGGCCGCTGGCGACCAGTTGGGGTGTGCACTCTTGAGCAGCGCCGCCACACCACTGAGATGGGGGCAGGACATGGAGGTCCCGGAGATCACGTTGAATGCGTGCTTCATGTCTGTAGAATTGTCTAAAGGAAATGGCCAACCGGCAAGAATGTTCAAGCCCGGGCCGATGATGTCCGGTTTGAGGATGCCTGGGCTTTGATGGTTGGGGCCGCGGGAAGAGAATGATGCTACAGCCGGGGCGACCGATCTCCCAATGATGTGCGTGCCTTTGAATAGGATCGTGGCCATTGGTGCTGACGCTGTGCTTAGGTATCTCTTGATCTCTCTCCCCGCGACATATGTCACTTCGACGGCGGGTAGGACATGCGCATCGACAAATGTGGTGAATCCTGCAGTGGGACCGTTCATGAGGATCATGGCCACACCACCTCTAGCCTTGACCTCCTGACCTGATGCGACTCGGTCAACACTTCCAAAGTCGCACATAACCACTTTCCCTTGGATGTCCGAGCGGAATCTTAGTGCTCCGGGCTCGCAGGCCAGGGTATCTCCGTTTACTCCCGGATAAACAAGGGGAAGTAGCCCCGAATGGAAGTCAAGCGGTTGGTACAAGGTCTCCCCATCGAACTCTAGCCCGTTCCCCAGCCGCGCCGTGGCCTTTATGCTGCGGTCAATGCTGCTTGCTCCCACAGTGAGAATCCACGGTGCCTCATTTGACAATGTGGTGTTATATGGCCCTGAATTCCCAGCGGAGCAGCTGACAAAGATGCCCTTTTGGGTGGCGGCAAATGCACCCTTTGCAATCGGGTCGTCGAAGAACGGTCGGGAATTTCCACCTAAAGAGAGGGAAAGCACATCGACACCGTCCTCGATGGCCGCGTCGAGCCCAGCTAATACATTGCTCACACGGCACTCGTCAACCGTGCAAACCTTGTACATTGCCAAATGTGCAAGAGGTGCCATGCCTATGGCCGTGCCTTTGGCATTACCGAGCGCACTGGCATCCCTCACAAAAGCACCAGCAGCTGTGCTGGAAGTGTGCGTGCCATGCCCATTATCATCATACGGCGGAACGGCCTGCGCGCCATTGTTCGAGTCAATGAAAGACCTCGCACCGATGATCTTGTTGTTGCAGGACGTGCCGTTGAAGTCGCACCTGCCCTTCCATTTGGCTGGGGGCGGAGGCACCCCCTTGTCGCTGAAGGAAGGGTGGTTGGGGAAAATCCCCGTGTCCAATACTCCGATGATCACGCCCTTACCAAAGTTCGAGTCCTTCCAGAGCCCGACTCCTTGGTGCAATCCCAGGAAGTCAGGGGTGTGAGTTGTGTGTAGAGAGAGCACCCTCTCTGGATGCACGTACAAAACACCATCCTTCTCGCGAATGACTTTAGCTTCCTCGGCGGTCAATTTGACCGCGAACCCGGATAGCACATGTTGGTATGAGTGAACTATTCTTTGCTCTTGGTTAGAGCTGGTTGCTGTGGTTCGTAAAAATGACCGATACAAAGTATCGAGATCCTCTTTGGTAGCAAAATGTTTGTCCGTCGGCTTTCGTACTTGGATAATATAAGTTGACAATGAGCTACTTGTACCAGCTACTGCAATAGCAGCATTAGCAGAGGAAATGCTGAGAATGTAAATGAGACCAAGAATAAAAATTGTCAAGGGGGTCGGAGACAATCTCCATTTCTGGTCTTCCATCTCGAATTTGAAGAAGTGAGAAATGCTATTTACTTCTGAGTACAGTGTTGATAGTTGAACTTGTAGCGCATATATGTAGGAGAAGCGAAATGAAGACATGCATTGGTCTCATGACCCTCCGGAAACCAATATTGGTACTTTTTCTCTTTTTGAAGAAAACTATCCATAGTGATTTTTATTTCCTAACATGCATCTGCATTTCCATGTAAGAATTGAATAAGACCTGTTATAATCCTCAAGGACAGGGCACTGTCCATGCAAAATCAAAATAGACTAATGTATAGAAGGAAATATAAATATGCAGATTTAACATGCTACACAAAGACAAGAAAATAAATCCTCCGGGTAATGCAATCCTAAGTTTCTAAAGTAAAATGGCAATCTTGCATTTTTATGACTCTCAAATTGTGCACAAGAGGACAGTAAATATACTATGATGATGTAGATATACAACTTTACCTTTAATACAAACGCAGTCTTTAAGTTATTTTATGTGATTTTCTATGGAGAGGCAATTTATAACTTCTAATATGGAAGACGTTATATTTTTTTGTTTTCTAATTTCATGACATGCAAATGAGGCATGTAAACCAAAATACAATCTAAAGATCTACTTGTAACAATAAAATATTATTTCATGAAAGTTTCTACTTTTCGTATGACATTTATGACGATGCAAATACAATGCAACACCCTACTCTAATTTGCAAAAAATTATGCAAATTCTTAGATATGTCAAAATATGCAAATGAGAACACACTTAAATTCGCAAATATGAACTTTTCTAGATAAGTAAATATTCAAAACGTAATTCCCTAAACATAAAAAACCTAATTAATGTAAACATGTGATTTTATTAAACATGCCCCGATTGAGAAAGTGTAGAATAATTAATGCTTACAACATGCTATCAATGACTTTTGTGGAATGTAATAAACATGTAATGCAAATATTTAATCATAGATCGGCACCTTTTTCTCTTAAATGGAAAACTTTTTTTTTTGGTAAGGATTAAATGGAAAACTTTGAGTGATTCTTATTTCCTAAACATGCATCTACATTTCCATGCATTTATGGTAATAAATCAAACATTTAAAACGTTACCAGATTCACAAAATGTATGTTAAGCAGTAATGTTGCGACTGATGACATCTATCCCATTTAGTAAATTGTTGCATAGAAAATTAGGAGTTGATATGACCCCTAAACAAAAATATCATTCTCACATTATTTGCATTTGCATCACATTTAGCATCCGTATCACATTAATAGAATTTTGGACTTATACATGCACGAGTCATGTCATGCACGTTGTTCACATGCACCGGCCACAAACGAGGGGCTCTCTCTCTTGCCACACAACTTATACACCAAAAAAGAAAAGGGTTAATACCACGAAAAATTCCAAACTAATACACCCGTGATAAATTTACCCAAAACTATTTTTTGATCACAAAAAACCCCAAACTTGTACACATATGACAATTTTGCCTCGAACTATTTTTTAACCACAAAAAACTCCACACTGGTACACCCTTGACAATTTTACCCGAACTAATTTTTTGACCATAAAAAACCCCAAACTGGTACACCTGTGATAAATTTATCCTCCGTTAGTTTTTGTTAAATTCTACCGTCAAATTGCTAAGTTTGATGACACGTGGTAGTTGACGAGTATACCGGTTTGGGGTTTTATCCCTCTGTTTGTCACAAATTTACCAATTTGTGATTTTTCGTGATATTAATGCAATTTAACCGACACTAACGGATGGTAAATTTGTCACAGATGTACCAGTTTGGGATTTTTAGTGGTCAAAAAATTAATTGAGGGTAAAATGGTCATAAATGTACCAGTTTGGGGTTTTTGGTGGTCGAAAAAATAGTTCGGAGTAAAATTATAACAAGTGTACCAATGTGGGGTTTTTGATGGTCAAAAAAATAGTTCAAGGTAAATTGATTGCAGGTGTACTAATTTAGGGTTTTTGGTAGTCAAAAAATTGTATACCGGTTTGGGGTTTTATCCATCTGTTTGTCACAAATTTACCAATTTGTGATTTTTCGTGATATTAATGCAATTTAACCGACACTAACGGATGGTAAATTTGTCACAGATGTACCAGTTTGGGATTTTTAGTGGTCAAAAAATTAATTGAGGGTAAAATGGTCACAAATGTACCAGTTTGGGGTTTTTGGTGGTCGAAAAAATAGCTCGGAGTAAAATTATAACAAGTGTACCAGTGTGGGGTTTTTGATGGTCAAAAAAATAGTTCAAGGTAAATTGATTGCAGGTGTACTAATTTAGGATTTTTGGCAGTCAAAAAATTAGTTGGAGGTAAAATTGTCACAGGTATACTAGTTTGGGATTTTTTGTGGTATTAACCCAAAAGAAAAGGGGAGTTTCGCCACAATTCCCATAAGAACGGAGAAAGAAGAGAGGAGAAGAGAGGAGTGAAGGATGCAAAAAGACCAAAAAAAAAAAAAGCAAAGGCCTTTCTTTTTTCTCCATGGACTAAGATGAGGGGGTTTGTTTCTCTCTCCTTCGACACTTTCACAAAAAAAAGAAACAAGTGAGAAAAGACAAGAAAAGGGGGTCTTCATGTTTTCATGAAGACACAAAAATAAAGCAAAATAGGAAAAACAAAAAAGTAAATGGAGAAAAGCTTTCTGGCCCTAAGACTTTAAGAACATGTTTGGTTCAGCATTTCTAAAGGCTACGGGGAAATGCAAAACAGTTTAGACTAAAAGGCTTTTGGGAAATGCAAAAACTGTTTGATAAATTCTACTTTGAGAAGCAACTTTAAGAGAAAAACTGTTTGGTGGAAACACATTTGAAAAGTCCCTTTGGATGATTAATTTAAGCTTTTTAATTTTTAATTTGTTTAAAATTGGAAAAAAAATCTGCAAATTTAAATATTGACAACAATGTTAAAAGATATCATGTTAAAAAATTTTATTAAAAAAAATTTCTTATTCTTGCTAAACAAATTAAAATGGAAAAAATTCACCTCAAAGTGGTCTCTTTCTCAAATTAAAAAAAGAATACTCATAAACGTGGTAAAATATGCTCCGACGAAAGAAATTCATTATCCTTGAAAATTATGAACGTCCTTGTATATTTCCTAAACTTATAGTTATTTGATCACGTAAACGTGCCATGTAAGAAGCAGAGTTATCATTTGAAGCACTATCCTCCTCATTTACATCATCGGTATATAAATTGGGATCCAAATAAAAATACTTTTGTCACGCCTCGAACTTCAACGGGCTCGCGACACCCCTCGAAGTTCGTATTGAACGCGACGTCCTAGGACGCGACACCAACCCACACGAAACACCCAATGACATGCGCAAGCGGAAGCAAAATATGAACATCCCAGACAATAAACGATACCATAGGGATAGTAAGGAAAGCGTTTGCACATATCAACGATTGCATTTCAAACACTTGGTATAAGCTTACAACATTCACAAATATACAATCAAATGCTAAGCCACTAACATAATATCCACGTTCAACAAAAAAGGGCGATGGTTGAGTAGTCTAACTTCATTACACAAAAGGGACTCCTCAAAAGGGTCATTACTGTAACCACCTGGGTCCCACTCGCAAGATATTGTTCGCTTTGGATACTAAGTCCTTACGGTTTTGTTCCTCCGAGGGCAGTCCATACTACCCCCAGAAAAGGCCTCTTACAAGTTAAAGTTTCACAAGCCTTTATAAGCAAGCCCAAGGCTCCCTCCCTAGGCGATGTGGGATAGGAGACATGCCCCCCCTTGCCATCCTAGAAGCCTGCCGGAAGCCGCTCCTTGTCCAGGCCCTTTTGGCCCCGGCGACCACTCCCTGCCCTCGTCGGACCGGGTCGTTACATTCTCCCCTCCTTCAAGCACAACGTCCTCGTTATGGTCCCACACGCGGTTGGGAGTCGGCTCTGATACCACATGTAACGACCTGGGTCTCACTCGCAAGATATTGTTCGCTTTGGACACTAAGTCCTCACGGTTTTGTTCCTCCGAGGGCAGCCCATACTACCCCCAGAAAATGCCTCTTGCAAGTTAAGGTTTCTCAAGCCTTTATAAGCAAACCCTAGGCTCCCTCCCTAGGCGATGTGGGACAGGAGACATGCCCCCTTTGCCATCCTAGAAGCCTGCGAGAAGCCGCTCCTTGTCCATGCCCTTTTGGCCCCGGCGACCACTCTCCGCCCTCGTCGGACTGGGTCGTTACAATTACACCCAAGCTAGTCTTCGCCATACCTGGCGGCAACACCAGTCCAGCCGTGCAGCCGTCCTCCTCGAACCCCACATGATCCGATTCATAGGGACCCCGAAACATCGAGACGACACGATCAAAGTAGGGGATCTGAAATGGTTTATATTCCAACAATGAGAATAATCTCAATAAGAAAACAACCTAAACCCCACCTAGGTCAATGCGTACCCAGACGAGTCTAGACATGCAATCTAACAATCGACGTGCCAGAATTCACACACACATTCTTACCTCATCACGAATTATGCGTCAACTCTGCATCTTAGTCAAAACACTATAATGTAATAACATCTCATGAACGTATCACATTCACCTGAGCACCATACACACGTGTATTCGTTTAATTCATCCAAGCACATTACACATACGCATACATCTAACTATCTACGACCCGCGTAACATGCCTCAGGTCCTTTCTCATAGCCCACGTCAACACGCCTCGGGCCTTTTTTTTTTCACAACCCGCGTCAACACGCCTCAGGCCTTTTTTTTCACAACCCACATCAACACGCCTCAGGTTGGTAGCCCTCCGATCTATCCGGGCTTTGTCCCGAGTAACACGCCTCAAGACATTTCAAACCCCGCGTAAACACGCCTCAGGGTATTAGCAAGCACACACGCCATGTGATTCAATCAATTTCGTGTCATCCTCATACTCGAACATCATCCAATCGAGCTAAAACGCCATTGAATTAATTCAACCCACGCATACTCTAAATTGATCACACTTTCA